GCGGCAGGAAAATGATTGATCATCTCGTCGCCGTCCCGAGAGGCATGACATGACAATAAAGACAAAAAGCCTCTCGTCGGCTGTGGCTGTTTGAAGCCAACAATCGCTTCCTAAACGCCGACTCCGGAGTTCAATTAGGCGATACGGGTGCAGCCGTATAGAGTACAAGCTCTCGCCGCAGAGCTCCGACTGGAGGTTCGTTCTGTTCCTATAATGAGGTTCTGCAGTTCACATTCCACCAGAACGACTGAATATCAGAGGTTGATTTGGCAAGACAGAGACCCTGCCGGTCCTGTTTTTCACTCCTGAAGGGGGAGCAGCGGGGTGCGAGACCTCCCCCGTGTCTATTTCCTTTCCTTTGCTGAAGGGCAGGGAGGGTCACACACACACACACACACACACACACACACACACACACACACACACACACACACACACACAGATCACAGTGGAGAATATGGCAGCCAGGAATCAAACCACAGCAGGACTCGGCCACGGATTGGAGAGCCGGCGGCGGCACGCGGCGCGCTGTGCCGTCCTTTTTATTGGCCCTTCTCCATCACACCTGTCACATGAGATTGGGTTGGTGGAAGCGCTTCCTCCAGCTGAAAAAAGGCCAAAGTAGATTATGGGGGCAGGCGAGGCTGAAATGGAATAACCAATGGAATGGCGCCAGATCTAACGCCTTGCTGTCTGAATGCAAATCGTGATTGAATTATGAATGATTTGTATGGTTTGCTGTCGAGTTTGGAACGGCTTCTCAAACATTTCCGTGTCGCGGACCCCTAAAAGCACACTTTGTAACCGCATCCCATGAGGGGGCAGCTTAATGAAAAGGAAACCTACAATTACAATAATCATTATTACACATAATGTAATGTCTGTCATCAGAGAAAGTCCTATGGAACTGAGTTAGAGGGATATTAGTCTATTTCTCAATTTGCTGTAGACCTCCAGGAGCCCAGCACAGGGCCCCTGGAGGCCCTCTGACCCACATTGAGAAACGCTGTAGCGACCTCGATGTTAGCATTCATTGTTATCAGAGATGTATTCCTCTGAGAATGGCCCTTTCTTGTTTGTGTTAAGACAATCTGTACTTCCTGACTGCCCTAAGCTGTCTCATAGATACATTTCTTTTTAAAGGCTCAGCAATTTCCTCAAAACAGCTGGGAGCTGTAGTTTTTTAGCAAACGCTACTCAAACAGGAGGAAACTGTTTGTTGGGGCCTATTTAATCAGCGGATTCGTCAAACATTTGGTGCTCTAGTGGCTGTTCACAGCAGCAAGGCGGTGTATGTATAATTCTTCAGTTCCTATTTATAGTATTTATAAACAGAAATCCCTCTTTGCTCCTCCTGACTCACCCTGGGTGTTACATTAATGTGAATCAGGGTGATCGGCTATCGTAATTTGGAATCGTTTTTGACCGTTAGCCGTTGGATCGTAGTAGCTAGCAGAGTGATGTCCTTTGTCAAAGGTTTGTGTTGAATCTCAGTTGTTTATGGTTTTAAAAAGAGTTTCATTTACGGTCTAATTTATTGATTCCTCCCTCCGTCCTCTACAGCCAAAGGCTACTTTTCTGTAGCCTTGCTAGCTTGTCAAGGAGTTTAACAGTGAAGAACCACAGAACACAACTGTCCTTGGAAAGTCTGCAAAACTCCCTACAGCAAAAGTAAAAACGCAGCAAAACTTGCTACACACACACACACACACACACACACACACACACACACACACACACACACACACTAAGTGGAATCAATATATTGTTGGTTTCGGTCTTTGGTTCACTGCTGTGGTGTTTTTGCATTGAACTTTCTTTTTAATTCCATTTGCTTGGATTTTCTTCGAATGGGGGCATTTTTTCCTTTTTCTTTTCTTTGTCACTGCGATATATATTTTTTTCTAACCATGTGTCATTACTTCCGCCAGATATTTGCCCAGCTAATTTGGGGCCACGTGGCGCTCAAGAGCACGCCGCGTTGCTATGTAACCTGCTGAAACGATGCGGCCACCGACGCGACGACGTTGATTGCACTTGATGGGGGGAGAAAAAAAAAAGGGGGGGGGGGGGGGGGGGGGGGGGG